GCTTGCCAGGCCTCAGCCCGCCGCGCCCTGGTAGCACTGCCGCTGCTGGTCCTCGACTGCTTATTCGTCAGACCCGAGAGTCCGCTTATTTCACAGCTAACCTTCACTGGAGGTCGTTCCACTATCCGCTACTCGTGGACGCGCCGGGTAGCCAGCTGCTAGGCTAACAGATAACCCGCTTTTGCAGTGTAATTTCTGAATCGGTTTCTCGTGCCATATACGTGGTAGTCCGTAAAAGCAGCACTATCCAGGCTTAGTTCACACCAACCTGGGGTTGCTAGGTTGCAACCCAGCTCTCAGCCTTGAGCATCAGGTTTTATCTCCAGTTAACGACATCACAGGCTGCTCATTTTAAGGTTCCGCGAAAACTGAAAACTCATTAGTTAGATCGCCCCACTTTCCCCTTTCCTCTCGCGAACCGTGGCGCGTCTGGGTGCAGGTAGTGGGAAATGAGATGGCAAATAATGACTTTCATAGCATGAAATCCCAATCCCGCTTACCGCAGATGTTTCAGTCCTGCCGTGTATGTCTAATAGAGTGGGAAAAGTGTTGCCCGTTTTGGACAGCCGCGTCGCACTTAAGAATGCCTTGTTTTTATTGTGGAAGTGTAGTTCGTTCCCTAGCCATCCTTTTCATGTTCTAATGTCGGATAGGAAATGGGAGGCATTAATGGCACTCACTGAAACAACATAGGTTCCTTACCACCCAGTTCGACTTTAGCAAACGACGATATCCATCGCGTACCTCACGGATTGGTGAGGTGACTTGATGACGAGTTATTTTATGTTGAGACAGGCTTGCGTTGAATATATCTCACGTTCTCCTTTCTCATCCACCTGGCTCTAGTGGCAAGACAATGTGAAGGCCACCGAAGGTGGACTCGGGCGCAGTCGTTGACAAGTCTAACCACTCACCCTACGCGCTCCACACACATGACCCGGCTCTAATTGCATGCATCAGGCGGTTCAGATTTTACATTAATTGGAATGAGATTAACTTAACAGTAAGAGAGAGACATAGTACTTGGCGGTCGTTTATGACTAGTTTTTTGTTTCAGTGGGAGCGTTCGCAATGGTTTCTGATTGGTTCTTGGTTTTTCCTTGATTTAGGTATATTTGTAGCGGTCTAAGTAGTGATTGTGCCTAGATCACTG